AAATTATAAGAAAATAAACTTTAAAAAATACATTTTTAAAAAATAAAAATATTTAAATTACTTAAAAAAATAATATCCCCCTCCTACCTGCCCCAAAAAGATACTTATATTATAGAAATTTGACCAGTTGAGAATAATCCAAACAAAGTAATTGTTTGTAAAAGTAATCCGAATTTAACCTATAAACACATAATTTTACCAATGTAATTATTANGAATAATCCAAACAAAGTAATTGTTTGTAAAAGTAATCTGAATTTAACCTATAAACACATAATTTTACCAATGTAATTATTACTTAGACAATGAATTAATTCTTTTTTCAAAATAGAGTCTAAATGAAAAGACATAGTTTCTAAAGAAGGGTGTCTTATTTTTCTAAAAAGAACAAAGAGGGTACATTTACTGGGATCAAAGGGAGGGTAGTGCGGGTCGCCACTGAAGAAACAGTTAATATGCAATATTTTTTTCCCGAAGTTTAAATATAATCACTGTGTTAACTTCATTTAACTTTTTTATCGTTTTATGTTCAGTTTTATTTCCCCTATTTTGATGAAAAAGAAGTTGATCTGGTGTATGTACAAAAATAGAGCAAGTTTTTAAATGAGAGCACAAAGAGTATATTTAAATCAAAATTCAACCATGAGCTTCAGAAGATGCTATACCTCAAGGCTCCATGAAAGATTTGAATGCTCTAGCCAGTTAGAAAGTGATTGAAATTTTAATTCAAGATTTCACTCTCACACACGAGAGTGGGCAAATAGGAACACAGGAATTACTTTGAGTTTAAAAAATGGCTGACTTTAAAAACAGGCATCTTGACCATTAAAATAAATAAATAAATTGAAGATTAACAAACAACATACATATGAACACAACATGAAATATTATATTCAATACTTTGGTTCTTCACTTTGTGCAATTGTGTATCAATCAGTCTCTATCTTATGTAACGGCTTGAAGCCTACTCCACTTCAGATCTACGAATACCAGATTATCTGGGAAGTAAAGGCGGTCAGTGCACAATATCGACCACATTAGCTTTACTCGAATTGAGCAATCTGGTCGTTGCAAGAAAGCTTTACTTTCTCCGATTAATTATGATTCTTCCATTTTTACTTCCTTATATTAATTTGAAGCAACATTTTTTGAATAAACTTTACAAAATATACTAAATCATACAAATATGGGTTAAATTTTAAGAGCTAAGAAAGACAAACATACTAATAGAATGCACGAGTCCACTATCAACATTAGCACTTATAAGATTTGACATAGCTTGAATAGTGCATGTTCTGAGCTCACTAAGTCTGGATACATTAACTCTATGTTGAACTTTTTTATCTTCTGTTGAATCACCAACACTCATTTAGTAAATTCATAAATAAGGAGAAATATTTGAAAGAAAATACATATTAAATATGGAGATTTTTCAGAATTTTTTTATTACACCCATATTTACTACTTTAAAAATATAAAATTGAGTAGAGAGAAATTGTTAAAAAAAAACATACAAGAAGCAACAAGGTTCAGGTAAACAAAATGACTATGAAAAGTATTGTAAATAGATAAGGTAAAAGTATATAAAAATAACTTAAAATTTTTACAATACATTATTAAAGTGTGTACACACTTTGCAAAAGAAAAATTTATATAGTTATTTCAACATTTTAGCAGAACTAGGGAAATAATCACTGTCAATCAATTTAAGTAATCATGTACAAATTTTGAAATTAGTTCTAAAAGCACAATTCATTTAAAAAACAAAGGTTACTTTGGATTTAACTGCATTTCATAAATTTTTTTCTAACAGCAGGAACCGAACTCTTGTTTTTAGGCACGGATAATGCCAAAACTGTTGCTTGTTTAACGTTAGCAGACAGGCATCTATGAACCTAAGTTACAGAGGAGAGCAACATTACCCACTCCACATCACACTGTCATATTCAGACAACACACAGACATCCATGCCCTGAGCATGACTCAAACCCACAACAATTGGCTTTGCAATCAGACAGTTCAACCACCAGGCTGACATTAATAAAAAAGGTACCAAGAAAAGGAAACTGGGCTTTTAGGTACCTCACATTTAAATTAATTCATTTACTGAGATTTTTTGGTATTTTACTAAAATTCCCTATTCTGTGGTTACTCTGAAAGATAAATAGGTAAAAAGTGAATACAACTTACTTCAAGAATAGATTTAGCTTCCATCAAATCACCTCGATCACTCTCCTCTGGCTGTAGTGGTAAACCCCTTAGAAGTGCGGCTACCGCTTGCATGCACGCTTGGTCAAGATCCCTCGTTAAAGTTGTGACATCTCCAGAATTAGGGGGAGCCAGTTGATGACTGTTGCCCATCACCCAATCAGTAAGGTATTCCACGAGTTTATTGCGAAACTTCATTTCTTGACCAAATGCCAAATCATCTAGCATAATCATCATGGCTTCAACCAGCTGGCAAAGCTTTGTTTTAATTTGAATAGCATGTACAGTGGTATCCAAGTGGCGGACGTACCTAAAATAAATTAAGACATGAGAAAACTAATTAAGAAAATTAAGAAGATATAACATACATCTCGATGTATAAATCGACCCCTTATTTTTTATTACAAAATAGCAAATTTCTGGTATATAAAATTTTTTAAAATAAATAAAAACAAAAAATTAGGCCTACAAAATTCTTTTAAAGTTTAATTCACATTGAAATGACATATTTGCCAACAAATAAAGATGCATATTATTATTGAATCCAACACAGAAGATGTTCTCGAATTTTTAAATTTGTAACTTTATGGTATGTTTGAAAAGTTCTCCTTGTGAAATAATCTTGAATATTTTGAAATACCCTTGTACAACTTATGAAAACTAAATTATTTAAACTTTTTTTTGAATATAATTTAGTGTTCTAAAAAAACCTTAAGATATAACGAAATATGATGGAAAAAACAACATACATTTAATTGTATATATTAAAAAATAGTTTTTGAAAGTGGTAAATGGATAGAGTTATTCATATCTATCTTTGCTTATAAGGCACTGATATTTCCTGATCAACAAATGTCTGACTTCATTACGGGTGTATAAGTCAATCCACTGATTTATTTAAATTTAAAATTCTAACAAAACATCTATAATTCATATTTCAAACTTTATTTTATGAAAATTAAATAATATAGAAGCAATTTGCGTATTTAAGTGAAAAAAAATTCATAATTTTTAGACGCAGATGGGACACTGATGTCCCTTTTATATTTCTTTCTCCTGATGCAAGTCTAATTGCAAGCAAAAAAATATTTTTGTATTTTGTAATTTAAAAATAAAAAAAAACAGTATAATAGTTTTACGAAAAAATCTGTAAAAACAATCTGTCAGATTATCAGAATTATATTTGTAATAAAATATAAAATCCAAAAAATAAGCAGTCGGGAAAAAAAAACTTTTTTTCATTTATATTTAAAAATTTATCAATATTTGCTTTTCAATATTAAAGAAATTTCAATAATGATTAACTGTTTCGATTAGATCTAAATAACTGCAAAAAAGTGCAAATGCAAAAAGTTTTGTTTTGAAGATTTTACCTTTAACACAGAAAAAGATGAAGATGTTCTATGTTATATTTTCTAATCATCAATTATTAAAATGCTAAATATAATAATTACAGAATATATAATAATTACAAATTAATACAAAATAAAGAAAAAAAGTGCAAAAAATATGTTTCATAAAAATTCTGGATCAAAGGGTTAAGGCAATTAATAAGAAGCACCATGAAACTTGCTCTAAAAGTGAAAATGCCATTTTTCAAAATATATTGATTTGATTAGTAATCCCTGCAAAAATTTAAAAAAGCAGTTACCTTACAATAGCTAACATCATGCCTCCTATGTTACTAACTCCCAAATGTTCTGCAGCATGATCAACTTTATTTTCTAACACACTTTTTAAGATGAAGATATGGTCAATAAATTGAGTATTAGGTTCTGTGACTTTACTCAAAAAATCGAAAAATGAGATAGTAGGGTAATTTTGTGTAAAAAAAACACACTTTTAAAGAAACAACGTGTTATTTTCATAGTTTCAAAAAATTAATTTAGAGAGCAGAGAAATTGTTATCGCATTGGTGCGATTCGCCATCTTGAAAAGTTAGAAATCGCTCTCCTGAAAAACTCGCTTTTTTGAGTTACCATGGTTTAGTTTCAAAGCGACGAATTTACAAAATCATTGGAAGAATTTTTGAATATAAGAGAAAAAACATGTATACTACTTTTTTTAAAATTTTATATTTTAGTACAAATATGTAAGAACTGTCCGACAATTGGTTTTATTGGTACATAAATGGTTTTCAGTCTAATTTTGTGTTTTTATATTCAATTAGTAATTGAAAGAAATACTTATAATTCATATTTTTTAAAAATGGAATTATATATTTAATAAATATTTAAATTTAAAAACTCTGTACTACTTTGCAAAGGAATGTTGTGACTCTACTGCTGATTTTACCAGTTATAATTTTATTGCTACTAATTCAATGAAATTTTTCAAAATTGTTTTTTAAAAAATTTGCATATAACAGAGTTGTTACTTAAAATTTTTTTTATTTTCACTAAAAGAGTTTGCTGATAGTTCTTTGAAAGCAAAAAAAGCCATTAGTTTAATTAAAATAAATCATTTCACATAAATCTTTTTTTAACAAAATAAATTGAATAAGCAATTAATAAAATTATCAAAACTTTCATTAATTTTATTAAATTAGTGACTGCTAATATACATTAAAAAATTGTTAGAAATTGTTAATTTGGATGAATAACTTTGGATTTATATCTAACGTCACAAGAGCTTCGCACACACAAATTTCGCTAAAAATAGAAACTTTTTTTAACTGAGCATTTCAGTTGAGGAGAAAAAAATTTTTTTATTACTCTAAAATAGTCAGACACACATCATATAGCAAATTTGCAAATTCATGTAAATAAAATAGAGTTACTTCTTTGTAGAACATGTTCCACAGCAGAGGGGCTAAAAAATGCTTAGCATCATACAGAGTTACAAATACTCTAGCCAATTCATCCTAAAACATATAAATAACAAAAGTTTTAATTTAAAAAAAAACCCTTAAAAATATTGCAAGCAAATTTTTGAACAAACTTTATCACAGGTTAATAGAATTCTAAATAAGTAGTCAAAAAATATGATACATCATGCAGAAAAATAAGTTTGAAATACACTCTAACTTATGTACCAACAAATGACTTAAAATACTTTTGATTATTTCATTAAAATGGACAAATATTTTTATATATTTGATTTCCTATGCATGGGAAGTGATAACATATTTTTATCTCATTGAAATAAAAATAATGAAAACATTAACCAAATCTTACGTTACATACTATCAGATAATTTAACATATTTTCATTTATACAAATATACATGTTTTGTTATTGCTTTGAAATTTTATTCATGGAAAATGATAACATATTTTTATCTCATCAGAATTAATATAATAAAATCATTAAACAAACCTCAAGTAATATATTAGCAGATAATTTAATGAGTTGTCAATTATTTATACAAAATATATATGTTTTCTCATAGCTTTGAATTTTCATGCAAAGGCA